AGACGGAAAGTAAGATTGCCTGACTAGGTGGCTCAGTGGCTAAGACACTGAGCTTGTCGATCAGAAAGGTCGGCGGTTTGGAGGTTCAAATCCCTAGTACGTGAGCAGGGGGTTGGACTAGATGACCTCCAAGGTCCCTTCCAACTCTGTTACTGTACATGGAATATATTACACCATTAAGGCAGTCACTAAAACTACTTTTCCAGAAAGAAAAAGAAGCACCAGATCAAAAGACAATCAAACACAAAAATTCCTAACCTCTTATTTAAACGATGGAGTCATAATTAACCAATTAATGTGGAGGAACAAAATAATTTTTCATCCCAATAACTACTGATTTTTTTTAATGAAATCCTACCACATCAAGAATATAATCTTGGGCTTCCCTGAAGCAATGAAGTATTGCCATTCTTGTGAGACAAGAATTTTTCTTCTTTCCAGGAAGGAAAGCTCATAAAGGGAGCACTTTAAGCGTGCCTATTCTTCCTTCTGGTAAAACAGATTGACCTTTGGCTATTTCAGTATCAAGAGCTCCATTCGAACAACTCAAGCATATCACTAGGTTCTAGAAAATATCCAAGACAGTATATAAAATGTGTGCCTTATCTGTAACCTCTTGGAAATCGTCAGCATTTACATTTAATTAAAACAGATATAATTTACCTATCTCTAACATTTCTCCAGCCCGAACTGGGTACACTCATTATATATTGTTTCAATTCAGCAACCTTCAGTTAACACAATACAATTACAATGGAATAAATACCAACGAACTACACTTTTACCATGGAGATTTGGTCCTCTGCTATTATCAAAAATTAGACTCCGCTTCAAATAGGAGTCATTGCTGGCCTGGAGGCCTGCTGAAAACTAAGCAACTAACTACACACAATATTTTGCTCAAAACACAAAAGCATTCTTCTATTATTTCCCTTTAAGCATAATATTTCTGGCTGTATAATTTTAAGGGAACCCACAATTTTTGCTCATGCATTATTTATCTTTTGACACAAAACAGTTACTTCACTGAGAGACTGTAAATCGTAACGTGGTTTGAATGAACAATTAAATGATGGACATGATAAACTAGATTTATAAGCTTCAAATTCTTATGAAAAAAAAAATCTTAGCATAATTTAACTCCAAAGAACTAGAATATTCTTCTAAAACGATGCAGATTCATGGAACTGCAGCTCCCCCAACAGTATCTGAGAAGTTAAACAGCACGGAGATTGATCTAATAAATGGCTTGATATTGCTACGGGTAAACAGAGTAACTGCTTTTTTTAAAAAAATTAAAAAGACAGTTCTGTTATACGTATTTTTAAAAACCCATGTCAATACTGCATTTATTTTTTCCTGAATGGATTCAGAAATTAGGAAGTATCAGACAAATGGAGCATGTTGAATACATTATATTCTTGGAAAACAATCTTCAACCGAAAGAACTTAGCTGAAGTACAAAATGTTCTAGTAAAATAGATGAAATAGAGATGTGAACGAAACAAAAACAGCACCACACAGATTAATCACTGAATGACAACACAGATTGTGTAGAAGACCATTAAGGAGAAAATTTGAAATATGAGTGGCTACCAAGAGAAATGGGAATTGTTGAAATATAGGAACATCGCTGATCTACAGAGCTTTAGTGCTTCATGGAATATTTTTCCCATTCAGGAAATTGGGGTGGTATTTATAGATATTTATTGTTTTTTCAAGGTTAGCTTATTTGGGGAGTTTTAAACAACAATTCAATATTTGCTCCCAAATTTCCCAAATAAGATACAGAACAATTTCATATATGGATATAAAATCACAAGATGCCTTGCTGCTTTGCTTGCTTCTTGTGCCCCGCTTCCTCATGCACACATATAAATATATGTTCTTCTTCCCTTACACACTTATAGTTCTCTCATGCACCCTTCTCAGTCCTCACGCAGGAGACAAGGCCTTTCAAATATCCCACATGACTAGCACTTTCTTATGAGAGAGGATAGGACTTTGTGATCCCTTAACCACAGACCTGCGGTTATAGTGAGCACAACAATTTTCCAAAATGTTTGGAAAACCACTATTTTTAGAAATGGACCATTCTGGTTGTGAATAGCTTTTGTTTTCCCAATAAGAGTGTATGCAGCATCGCTCTTACATAAGTTATTTGGTGAATTTGAATTGTGGTCATTTTGTCCACAGATCTTTGTTCACATATATAATTTTTAAAATGTCGGGGCCACGTTTTCTGCCAAAAAGAGTATGATTTGTTGACCCAAACTTCGAAGAAACTGTTCTAAAATGGTATGGAGAAGCAGAGAGTGATCTGAGTGAAGTGGAATGAGATTGCAACGAAAATTTTGTAATGGACAATGAGGAACCCACCGCAGCCACCGCCGATTCTGACATCAGCGATGATGAAGCTCCTGATGAAATTGATGACCAAGTAGAATCTACGTCGTGCAATAATTTATAAGGCAAGAATAAATGCAAATGGTCTTCTGCACCTTTTGGAAGCACTAGTCACAATATTGTAGTCAATTACCTGGACTACGGCCAGTAGCTAGAGAGGTTACTATGACCTGATGTCTGTAATAGTTTAGCCGAAATAGTACAGCTATGGTTAAGGGTTATTGTTGTTTTTCAAAAAGGCTAATTTTTTCTCTTCAGTAAAGCATTGCAAACTTGGTTACAGTCTAATTGCTAGCTTTCTATGTTGTGCTATTAACATAAAATAAGCAATATCTAAAAATAGATATAATTTATCATGTTACCATGTTTCATAGAGTACTTAGAGGTGGGATACTTTCCATTGCCACAAAAGTTGACAGAGGTATATTAAAGCTCCAATATAATATACAGAAATTTCAAACCCAGACATACTTCTGAGTCTCATCCAGCATTCTAATATTGAATTCAGTTTCCTTTTATAATTTTTCCCCAAATTCCAATAGCTGTCTAAATAGGTTCTTGTTCCTAGATTGTATCATATCTTTCCACAATCTTTATATGCTGTATGGTATATGGTGTCCTAACCTTCCACACCTCTGAATTTTCTTTAACATCTGGATTTGTTAATTAATATGACATATATGCTGAAAAAGAGTTAAAGAGTGAGCCTAGCAGGGATAAGTACAGCATTTCCCAAAAAAATATGACCGGGTCTTATATTAATTTTTACTCTAAAAGACTCATTAGGGCTTATTTTCTGGTTAGGTGTTATTTTCAGGGAAATACAGTACTGAATACGTCCATCTGGCTGATGATCTTAACTGGGGCTTATTACGAGCATTCTGAAAAAATCATGCTAGGGATTATTTTCCAGTTGGCTCTTATTTTCAGGGAAACATGGTAGCAGAACACAACAGCTGAAAAAGTTGCAAGTGAAATATGTGTAAAATTTTTTTTGATGTTCTGTGTTTAACTTGGGAATAAAGTAAACATCAATGCCTGGTTGTTATCAACGGATAAACTGTCTAACCTAGAGAGGGATCAAAGGTGAGAGGATAAAGAAATTGCTTGTCACAAAAGAAAAATGGCACAGAATGAGGTATTCTTATTTAATTCAAATAGTTTCAAAAAGTACTTTCGTAAGAATGTTGTAATAAGAACAGCAAAAGTAAAAAGGTAGACCACTACTACAGTTCAACAATTAGCAAAGGCAGCAATCCAAAAATATAATGAAATGTTAGTCTGCCACATTACACTTCTATTCCATTACTCTCTATTGCAATAAAAATTACGATGTATTTTCAAATTCTTTACGAAAAAGAGCACTATCCCAAGCAAGTCTTATAAAATAGGGGATGATGCATCAATTGATAAGTATCTTCCCTGTATATATCAAGAAAGCTACCTATGGGTTTATGTGATAATTTTTAATGATAGTTCCTCCCCTCCACATTTATTTGGAAAACAGATAAAAAGTTTCCTAAAACTGACATATCTACAAAGCTGAAATTTGTTCCTGTTCCTGTTTACTAAAAAAACAGTATGTGTATTTTTTGCATGTGTATATGTGAAAATGTTTCAGTCTTTAACATAAAACATACAGATGGAGCTTTCATTGTTTCAGGGTGAATGGAATGAAAAAAAAAAAAAAAAACCTCCTGCCAAGGAATATTTTTCTTTACTGCTCCTTGTTCTTCTTGTCATCATCACCAATATATCTTTTAACTAATCAGGAATATATTCAGAGCAGTTCAATAGCTGGTGCAATTCTAGACCAGGGCTATGATGGGGACCCAGGAATCTCTTTATCTAACAAATATCTAAAGTATGATTGACATCATGAATTGCTCATGCCAATGAAATCTACTGTTTCAGAACCTATGGTAATTAAAGAAAACCGCCAGAGAAAAATAGACCAAGGTACTTATAAATGTAGACTCATTTTCCATCCATGTCTCTGAATATGGATAAAAAATGTAAACATCTCCCTATGCAGAGATTAAAAAGAAGGACGCTCTTTGTAAGTAAAATTATGCAAGCAGGATGCCTGCAAAATTCTGGCTTTCAAATTTTCTTATGCCTGTTTAATTAACAGGCACGCTTTATTATAACAAGAAGAAATTGGATTCCTTTTGGCTACCAAACAATTGCTTGAAGGTCTGGGAAGAGTATAACCTACCTAGAAATGAGATCTCTGGGGAATGCAGTTAAAATCTTTCTCCTATCCCTATAATATTGTTTTTATTTTTCCCAAGCCATTTTAGAGGAAATTTAAGCCAGACATCCTTAATACTGCAATGCCGCTCTAATATTGATACGATCTGACAACAAAAGCTCAACAATAGGCTTACAGTTAAAATCCTTGGCGGGGTACTGAAATAGACCACCTAATCTTTCCATTAAGCCAAAGGAATTAAACCGAGTAGAAGGCAGTGAAAGGATTCCAATATGCATTTTAGGAAAGAGCAAAGGAAAGAGCATTTGTTGTGTCTTTTCTCACAACAAATTTAAGAGACCTTAATCTAACGTGCTGTTTAATGTTTATGAATACTTACCAAGGTTTGTATTTGGGCCAGCAAGAAGCTGTTTGAATTTATCTAATCGCAATGCTTCTCTTTCAGATAATACATGAACACCAGAGGCATTATCTGCCACCCCACCAGTAAGTGCATGTGTAGAGGCTTGTGGAAGAGACTGAGATCTTGGCACAGAAGTATTTCCATTAGTGTCATCTAGAAAATATAACAGGGGAAACAAGGCATAAAGTTGATTAAATCTGAAGTGGGGGAAAGAAAATATATTTTATATCTTTTCCTGCATACACACACATATATACACATACACACACAGGTAGTCCTTGACTTACAATAGTTCATTTAGTGACTGTTCAAAGTTTTAACGGCACTGAGAAAATTGACTTATGACCGCTTTTCAGTTACGACCTTTCCAGCATCCCCATGATCATGCGATCAAAATTCAGATGCTTGGCAACTAGTTCATATTTATGACGGTTGCAGTGTCCCAGGGTCATGTAAATCCCCTTTGGCGACCTTCTGACAAGCAAAGTCAATGAGGAAGCCAGATTCACTTAACAACCGTGTTACTAGTTTAACAACCGCAGTGATTCACTTAACAACTGTGGCAAGAAAAGTCATAAAATGGGCCAAATGTTTCAACATAAATTGTTGAACATTAAATTATGTTTAATATAAATTTTGGGCTCAATTGTGGTCATAAGTGGAGGACTACCTATACAGTATTACTATGTATTTTCAAGAAACCTTTGACTACAAATAGCAATATTTATCCCCTTACCTCCAAAAGAGATATAAGAATAGATCTATCCTGCCATTAACCTCATGCTTGTCAAGAAGTGAATGGGAAAAACTAAGGAGTACCACATTGGAATTTCCTTTTATAAGACAGGAAGTATTTTACTTATAACAAGAAAGTACAGTGCTGCTATTTTATATAGAAATCCGTTATTTCACAGTTTTCTCATACTGAAAATAGTAAAAATAGGTTTTTCCCATTTCTCCTACCAGAGGAATGTCTCCGGAGAGCTAAGAGGGATTAGTTTCCACGTAAACCAGGATAATAAATTCAATATTCACAGTATCAGAATTGAGCTATTAACCATTTTCCAACTTTCTTTTTGGAAAATCAGCATGACCTTTCAATTGGATGCTCAGGAACAACTGTTGCATTTGGGCGGGGAAGCTCAGGGCAGCAATTGAGTTTTTCAAGTGTAATATACCTGCAGAAGTTGATGCGTTTGTTTCACTGACAGATTTAACCAGTCTGTTGTCACCACATGCAGCTGAAGGCAAGTCTGAAATTTTCTGGGGCTGTTCCCTTTCTATCTGTTCCTCCTGCAATTTGTGCTGCTCTTGTAATTTACTGTGATTCTGAATTACTCTGTTGGCCGTTTCCATGACTACATCAGTGTTGAGGCTTTCTGTAGCCATCGCTAAAAGTTCGTCATCATCTTCCCCTACATCCCAGGCATCGCTCGTGTTGCTTTCAAATTCCTGAAATGTGCTGACTTTCTTTGTTTTTACTGGGGTCGTAGGAGGCTTGGGTCCTTGTTTTAAACTGTTTAAAAAAAACAAACAAAACAAACAAACAGCTTTTACTAATACGTTCATTACTGTAAAATTTAATTAAGGAAAAAATTCAAGCTGACTAAAGGGATATATTTCTGATGAAAAAGCAAGCAGATGAGGATGTCATTTTGACAATAATAGAATAACAGAATTGCAAGGGACCTAGGAAGTCTTCTACCTTGTTTCCCCTAAAATAAGACATCCCCTGATAAAAAAAAGCCCAATTGGGCTTTTGAGCACATGTGGTAAAATAAGCCCTCCCCCCCCAAAAAATAAGCCATCCCTGAAAATATTTAACCGCATGCGCAGCCGGTTCCCGCCATTTCCTCTGGTTAGGTTTAGGGAGACAGAGCTGGAAATCAGGTAAGACGGCAAGAGGAGCCCCGTCTTGCTCCACACGCTCCAAAATAGTAAGACCTCCCCAAAAATAAGGCCAAGCACTTATTTCAGGGTTCAAAAAAATATAAGGCAGGGTCTTATTTTCGAGGAAACACGGTAGTCCAACCCCCCCAGGAGACTCTTCTGGACAAATGGCTGTCCAAAATGGCTGCCCAGAATTTCCATAATGTTTCATTTAGTCAGTTGTAGCTGTTAAAATAAAACGAGCAAAAAGAGAAAAAGTAGAGACCGTTCTCAATTAACAATTTTTAAGTAACGATTATGTACAGGTATTAACACTGCAGCAAAAAGTCCTCCTCAAGAACACATGGTCTTCTTAGGCTTTGTTTGTGTTCAACCTGAAAAACCATTGTGCAAAGTAAACTTCTCTGTCATGCCAGCTGGAATTATCACAAACAGTACCAATCAGATATGTTACAGACTCAGACTGTTCCAATATAATGCTGGACTTCACAGACATGAGATGTGGATTTAAAAACACAATATGAAAACAGCTAAATCAGAAGACAGAGTTTGTTTTTAAAAACGTTTGACATATAATTTATATGCATAAAATACCACACACACACACACACACACACACACACACACACACATATATATATATATATAGTTTTCGCGGGTGTGTATATGCAAAAAATTAAAATCTCGGGTGTTTTCCCGCGTCATGTTAAATACGTTCGTTAAAATGTTTAAAATTCTGGTCAAAATTCTAGCTTAAAATCTTCCAAAAATCCTTACAGAGCACTCTGCATTTTATACCAAATTTATATTTCACTGATAAAGAAATAAATAAATAAAGGGAGACTAGTATAGATCTATTTCAAGTTATTTAGCTCTCATCAGCTACCATACCCTACTTGGATTCGAACTTGTGGCTCAGAGATTAATACAACTGCCTAACATGCAGGCAGCCCTGAGTTGCCTGATCGGCAGAGCTTGGATCGGCAGAGAGAGGAATTTAAACAAAAAAACCCCTTTTTTTCTTTTAAATGCCTCTGACGATCCAAGTTGAGTTGCCTGATCTGCAGAGGTTTTTTAAAAAGCCTCTGCCGATCAGGCAACTCAGCTTGGATCGTCAGAGCCTTTTGAAAGCATTTTTTTACAACCTCTTCGCCGAAGAGGTTGAGGAAAAAATAGTTTTAAAAGTAATTTTTAAAAAATGGCCATGGCCCACGCCCACCCAGTCACATTACCCAGCCAAGCCACGCCCACAGAACCAGTAGTAACAAATTTTAGATTTCACCACTGGCCTGGAGTCCCTCCTCCCCTCCAGAAAAGGGGTGTGTCAGGTAGGACCAATACCCGTTTTCTGGTTAAGCTGGGCTTGCAACCTTATTCTGAATTCTGATCTGCATTAATGACGGTGGGCAGATACAACAGTGACAAGACTCATTCAAACTAAGACATACTAAGCAGTTCATTTAAAGTTGTGTAATACTTGAGCATTGCTATTTGCAAATAATAGAGTATTATGCATTAAGCAAGTCAACGCCTTGCCCAACATACTGCCAGTTATTGGAGCATGCAAACCCAAGTACTAATTACATACCAAAAAGCAAGAACACAGAAAAGTTATGCAAGAGACAGCAAGCAATTCCACAATTATCTGTAATAATTATGATTATAACATACCTTAGCCATGTTATTATACATATTAAAGGCATCCTGCAACAATAGCTTGGATTTTTGCCCCTTAATATTTGTTTAGGCATTTATTTTAGATATGTATAGATCTCAGGAAGTAATCTATACAATTTTTAATTTTCAATATACTATTGGTTTATTACTTTATTTTTAGGTAATCAACTTTGACTTTAGTGTTGAGTGGTGAGGTGGCTTAGTGCTGAAGACACTCGCCTCCCACTCAGAAGGTTGAGAGTTCAATTACAGGTAGTGGCAAATGTTTCTCTCCTAAAATATTTGCTGCAAACTCCACCTGGCATCAGGAAGGACATCCAGCCAGTTAAATGCTCAGCTCCATCCAGTCACCCTGACTCTACCTTTACAGGGTTAGAGAGTAAAAGAGAGTTAACCTTGATTTAGTGTAATTGTAAGTATATGTGTTTGCATCTGCTGAATTTCTAAGTGATTCATGACTGTCCACATGCTAACTGGGACCTTGTCTAACCATGCAACACCAGTATTGTGAGAATAGCATTGGTTATATAAGAAAGAAAACTACGGATTAAATGAAGAGAAATTTAAACAATGTTAGGCATCAAAATAAACATCAGCATAACCAAATAAATCTAAAACTTCAGTAGATGCTTAAAGAGCAAATAATATTTAGTTTTGTTTTATAAACTTTTACTACCAGTACTAAAGAAACAGCCATAAACTGTGAATTGCCACTCCTGAGACTCTACACAATACTCTTTGGAACTGCAAGCACTGTTGAAAAATCTATTATAACTGAGATAACTGAATCACTAGGATCCTACATCTTCTGTGTTATCACAGTAAGGATCCTTTGTTTACTTTTCTGATCTATGAATTAGATTGAACTCTATTCATTATTACACAACCTGACATGATGTCTTACAAGACTAGTCATATCAGCAGAATGTATTCTGATGTTCACCGTAAATTCACTAGAAGAAAACAGATCATCTTATCTTCACAAAAAGTAAGGTCAATGAATGAATGTGCATCCTTCATATAAAAGGTAAAGGTTCCCCTTGCACATATGTTCCCGACTCTAGGGAAGGTACTGAGCTAGCGGTAGACAATCCTAACTGGGCATCCTTTCAAACATATTGCCAGGTTCCTCATTCAATAACAACAGACCTTCTGGAAGAAGTCTCCGTGATGTATCTGCCTGCTGTGAAGAAGTCTCCGTGGTCATGTGGCGGCATGGCTAAATGCCAAAGGCGCACGGAACGCTATTACCTTCCCACCAAAGGTCGTCCCTATTTTTCTACTTGCATTTTTTATGTGCTTTCGAACTGCTAGGTTGGCAGAAGCTGAGACAAGTAACGGGAGCTCACCGGTTACGTGGCACTAGGTATTCAAGCCACTGAACTGCTGATCTTTTGATCAACAAGCTCAGCATCTTAGCCACTGAGCCACTGCGTCCCCCCATCCTTCATATAGAGCAATGTAAATCTGTAAGGATTGCCATTCCAAGGTCCTACAATATGGCTTGCATATTTCCAAATGATGCCATAATATTTACTGTGATGAAAAAGAACAAGACAATGTTCTACATGCTTTCCCAATTTCTCACAGTAAGAAAAAGAAACCATTGCAGTAAATAAATGTGAACCAGATTATAGTTTGTATATAACATCAAATTATTGTTTGTTAGAAAGTAGGATTTCCTGTCTGGAAATAGGCAAAGTATACAGCATTAGTATCAGTAAAGCGAATCACAAAGCTTTCGTTTTACATAAAGAAATGAGCAGTATTCACATACAACTTACAATCCAGGATTCTTGGCTAAGTGTTTATGGCGAATAAGTCACATGCTGGTACATAAAACCTGTTCATTTCTGTTTCCTTTATGCAATCAAATGAAACAGAGAACTCATGGCAATAATAATAATCTAGTTACGGTTTCACAACACAAAAGTAAAAGCAAAACACCATTCAGAGCACTGCAAGCAATAGAGCAGAGTTTTAAATTAAACTAGACAATCCATAACTTTTTGGGCATCCTTTCAAACATATTTCCTTGCCAGGTTCCTCAGTGCCTTCAATAACAACAGACCTTCTGGTGTATTGTTTTTACTGGAAAGATTGAGATACATTCAGTGATGTATCTGCCTTCAAAATAGCCCATTTTGAACTATATAGCACAGTCAAACAACAGCACAGGAAATATCTTATGACATTTTGTATTATGTCGCAAATTGTTTCATGATTGTTTTTATGTTGTTGTTGTTGTTGTTGTTGTTGTTGTTGTTGTTATTATTATTATTATTAGTCATATTTCTATGCCGCCAACTCTCCGAGGACTCTGGGCGGCTTACACCAAAGACAGTATACTAAATAGCATATTGCCCCCTAACAATCTGGATCCTCATTTTACCCACCTCGGAAGGATGGAAGGCTGAGTCAACCTTGAGCCGGTGAGATTTGATCCGCTGAACTAGCAGTCAGCTGAAGTAGCTTCAGTACTGCACTCTAACCACTGCGCCACCTCGGCTCATAGCATTTATGTTATAAAATGTTTTATAAAATTTGCCAAAATTCAGTTCCATGAGAGTCATCAGTCCTGGATTTCAGATGCATTCTGTAAGTTAACCCATATGAAGTACCTTGATTTAAAAAAAAATACCTTTGCCCTATAATGCACTGTTTCGCCCAATTAAAGGTTACGGTTATGGTTTTAATCATATATTGATAATACAATACATAATCCATTAATTAATTAATTTCACCAGTTTATATAAAGGAAAGGAAAAAATACACTGTTAAAACTGCATATTGCAGTTCCTTTTAAGCTATATACAATAATAGAACAGATAATAAATGTCATTTATAAACATTATGAAGGTACTTTGTGTTTAAACATTACAACTGAAAATGTTAATATGACTCAGTTGATCAGGCTATTTGTATCTCTAAGTTTTTAACGAGAAATGATTGACTTATTTCTTTAAAATGCATGGCATTAAATATTCATTCAATAAGCTAACCTAGCCAAAATGGTATTCTCTTGTACTCATGAGGGCACTTATGCCAGAAAGAAGCAGAATAGGACTACAACTAAAGCATTTACTCAAGTTTAAGATAAGGCAGTGATTTTCACAAAAATAAAGTCCCTCAGTCCCCAAAGGAAAAAAAAACTTACTTTCCATGCAGCAGTGGATCAAAAGGAGGATGCTGAGCTCCATATACATGTTGAATACTAAAAAGAAAAATAAGAGAAATAACATTCAATTCAATTACAGCAAGTCTCTAATACTTTTGGAAGTGAGTCCACAAAATGTGAATGTGGCATATTCAATAATAATTTTCTATAGCAGGTTTCATGATATGAATATATGATATTCATATGATATAGCAGGTTCATAATTATACCGATTACAGCATATATGAAAGGATCCTAACAACTTTAAAAATATGGAGATGCTTATAGGTTATTACTGGAGCTTTACATCGCCAATCCAAGATGACAAAGAAAACAAAGAGTTGGAAATATGATACAACTGTTTCCTTCCTTGAAGACAGACATTCTGAGCTTGACTACTATGAGTGCAAAAATCAGGGCAATCACTAGATGGCAACAAAGAACTCAGGCATCCAATATCCCTGTGCTGCTACTGTATCTAAAGAACAGATTTTTGATTCCAGATCTGGTAGCCCTAAATACTCACTGAAAGGAGAAGGAGAAGGGGAGAAACGAAAACAATTACTGTATTTTTCGGAGTATAAGACGCACCTTTTTCTCCCCTAAAAGGGGGTGAAAATTTAGGTGCATCTTATACACCGAATGTAGCCCTGCCCACCCACTGGCCCCCACCCTTTGGCCTCTGCCTCCCAGCAGTTACCTCCTTGCAGCAAGCAGCAAGAAGAAATAGCTTGTTTCAGCTTCAGCACAGTCTAATTAGCACAAGTTGATTGGATCAGCCTCCCGACTCTCAGCTGTTTTGTACGGGCTTCTGCTGCTTGCTGCAAGGAGGTAAATTGCTGGAGCAGATTTTTTTTTTCTTGTGCTAATCAAGCTATGCTGAAAACGAAAATGAAAGTAAAGCAGGCTGTTTGCTGTAACAAGGCAAAATTGCTGGGAGGCAGAAGCAGAGGCAGATTTCTTTTTCTTGTTTTCCTCCCCCAAAAAAGTAGGTGTGTCTTATACTCCGAAAAATACAGTACTTGGCTATCTCACCTTCCATGGAAGCACTTATCACCATCCAGTTCTGAATGGAGGAACAAAATCTACTGGCAAAATTTGTAACTTGGTTAAAAAGACCATCCAAAAAAGATGCACACTAATTTTTATAACGAATGCCTACACTACACGATATTAATACACACAAAAGGCTAACATTAGGCTGGCCTTTGGAAAGCCTTAAAGATCTGGTTGCATTACTGATCATGGGAGTCAGAAGGTTAGTCCGAGCCCATGAAATGTCATTCTTTAATATCAGTCTTATGTTATTTGCAGTAACATAAGAGAGGTGTGTGTGTGTGTGTGTGTGTGTGTGTGTGTGTGTGTATAAAATTTATTTATTGGCACAGATATTGTCTCATGCATATTTTGTTGTTATTTTTATGGACTGTTAGCTGCCCAGTCAAATGGCAAGATCTAATAGAAGAGGTTCTTCTTGCTTTAGATAATGCACTATTTGAAATCCTTAAGAATTATGTGAAAATGGAAAGTGAACACAGATGAAAAGGAAATCTGAAGGAAAACAATCATTTCTATATGCGAACAGATATTTTACAATCCACTCCATTGGCTAGAATCAATGTAGCCAATGTGGGATCAATGTAGATGTAATTTTCTACTCTATCACTCATTTTCTAAAGTTATTACTTGTTTCCTAAAATAGTAATCAAATCAAATCAAATGTCCCCCCCCCCAAGCTAGTTTATTCTTGAAGAAGACTTAAGAATGAACAGTACTTAGAGCAAGTGTGTCCAACCCATTGCTTATAGGTCACATATGGTCCTGGACAGCGAGTAAATTTACTACTATGCAAGGTTTGAAGTAAAGACTTTCTAATATGCTCAGCAAACCTTTGTACTCCATTTAGCTGCTTCCATAAGCCCTAATAAATTATGTTATTCGGAATGCAAAGTATCATTATTACTGAGACAATAAAACTCAGCAAGGAAATTTGATTCACAGAAACAATCCGGATTCATCCTCACTTTAAAATGCAATAACTGAATGTTGCAATTGAAATATAGTATACTTTATAAGAAAGGATATACTATACTCTTTCATGGAACATTCGTTTTTATTTTTTTAATTTTATAATGTTATTTCACTGAAAATTATGTACAATCTACATCTTTTTTAAAACTAAATGTCAGAAATAGTTAACAAAATTTTTATTTATATTATACCAAAGTAGGCAAAAGAGATTTGATGAACCTCATATTTATTAAAATGCTTTCAGACGCAACAAAGTTGCTGAAGTTATTCTGGTAGATGTTATCATCATTTAATGGAGGAGATTCAACTACTCTGGAAGGTATCATACTAAGAACAAGTTTATTATCCACATCCAAGTCCATTCTTCATCCCAAACCTTCACCTCAATTTGTCATGATAAAATTTAGAAATATTATATTCTACCTGACATAACATTCTTCCTCTCCAAAATAAAGAACTATGTGAAGCAAATCATCCAGATTTATAGTAATCCGATGATCTGTTGCTCTTCCAAATTTATATTTCCAGCAAAGCTTATTCCTCTCAAAATATTAACTAGTTATTATGAAAAAATACTTTACTCAACTGAAGTCTCTTCCTATCAAAGATTTAGCAACTACCGTATTTTACGGAGTATAAGACGCACCGGATTGTAAGACACACCTTAGTTTTTGGGGAGGAAAATAAAAAAGCTGATTGGTGGGTGGATAGGCCTCCCGGAATACCCCCAATCAGCTGTTTCCAGAGGTGAATTTTAGCAACAGTTTCATTAGTTGTGAGCTCTGTGCCTTGTTTTTTGTTTTTTGTTTTTTCTGCCTCTGAAACTTCTGAAACTCTGTTTCAGGGGGAAAAAAATTCTTCCTTTGAAAGCCTCTAAAACAGAGCTTCAGAAAAAAAGGCTTTTTTTCTGAAGCTTCTTTCAGAGGCTTTTTTTCTGAAGCTTCTTTCAGAGGCTTTTATTCTGAAGGACTATCTGTACTCTGTTAATCTTCTTTCTTTGGTATTGGTATGCAGATTAACCTCTTCCCATCTGTTGGTTATTGTGTCATTCTCCAGATTTGTTAACATAGTTTGGTTAGAACCTTTACTGATTCTTCTTTTGTTGCTTGCCATATTATTTTAGATAAAAGTCTTTCAGAGGCTTTTTTTCTGAAGCTTCTTTCAGAGGCTTCGTTCAGCTTCTGAAATCTCTATTTGCGAGGCTGGGCGGGGCTACATTCGGAGTATAAGATGCACCCAGATTTTCACCCTCTTTCTGGGGGGGGAAAGGTGCATCTTATACTCCGAAAAATACGGTAGAATGTTTTTCTGAGAACAGTTAGTTATGTATTGCAAACTACTGTGACATGTGTGAGTGTGTGTATGTATTATATTATATTATTATATTGCAATGTGTGTATGATAATTATGAAATACCTGTCCATACATATTAATTTCTTAACAACAGACTATGTTTCCAGGTTTGAGAACTGTAAGACCTAAGTTCATACAATCACTACCAGTGATTTGAAGAAGCACTTTGATGGACTTAAAAAAACTTTAATTACTACCATTAAAATAAACCCTCTAATTTATAATTTTAGTTCTATAGATAGGCCCAAAACTGCTCTCAATACTCTACATATAGTAGCCTGTTTTGATGAAAAGTGTGACAGTGTTCCTTAATAAATGTATTTACAATACAGTAAGCTGCAATTCCTTAAATATATTTATATCTTCCAATGTATGTAAAGCTTGGTTATAATAAGAATCATTTAATATTTTTCCTAGCAAATAAGTTTTTAATGGTTCCTCTCACAAACCTGAAAAATTTAAGTTGTATCTAGCTAAATTCCCCTCAGGATAACACCTTTTTTTGTTGTCAACACCTTCTGCTGCCTTTACATGAAGAGCAATTTGATGTCCAGATCTCTTGGCTAAAGTATCTTCTGGTCAAATTGCCTTTAGAATCCTTTTAATGCTCAGTTTCATCACTATCTTACAGGAATGCTTCCTGCATTTCATCAATTAATACTGGCCTCTAGATCTTTTTCTAATAAGACTGAGTCAAATTCAAAAGTTTGCTGCTATCTTACTCTGCTCCTTTCACCATTCCTTATTTGTGATTTTCCAAAAAGCCTGTCATTTTCCAGGTGAACTTCTCTAATTCTGAAATGGAGAAATTATTTTTTTTAAAAAAAATTCTGACCATTCATGTTCCTAGAGGACTTTCTAACATTGAATGCAAATTTATACCTAGCTATTCGAACTATGCTTCAATATTGACTTTTACATTTTAGCTTGAAGTCTTCCACAGTAATCAAGAAATCCAAGCAGTCCCAACAAAACTATACCTCCTACATTCCAATTCCAGTCCGAAGTCTTTCTGTGGGAAAATAGTAACTGTCTAATAACAATGGGTTCTGATGATTGCTTTTCCATCACAGATAAGGATGTGAAGGTATGATTTTTCACCTTAACAGAAAAGTTACAGCAACAACATTCAACAAACTATGTGATTTTTCAACCCCAAAATCCTACATTATCGAATTTATTCCTGCTTGTCTAACTTTTTTGCCTTAGCTTCACTACTAAGCAAGACAGTTAAGTGAACTTTGCCCCATTTACAAGTTTTTTGCCACAGTTGTAAAGTGAATCACTGAAACTATGAATAGACTAGAAAAATAGAATACAGAAATAATAAAAATATGAATTTAGAAATATAGAAAGAGAAATAATAGAAAGAGAAAGAGAGAGAGACTAGACTAGACTGCATTAGACAGTGCTGTGGAAGTTAGGTATTTAGTAGAGTGATGGCATGGGGAAAGAAACTTGTTTTGGCATGCAATGCCCTACAACAGCATCCTGAGGGGAGAAGTTGAAACAATTTATGTCCAGGATGTGAGGGGTCTGTAGATATTTTCTCAGCCCTCTTTCTGGCTCATGCAGTATGCAGGTCCTCAATGGAAAGCAGGATAGTTGCAATAGTTTTTTTTTTTTTTTTTTTTTGCAACCATCCTGCCTTCCATTTTCTGCAACCTAACTATCCATTGAAGTCTGTACCTGTCCTGTCTGGTTGCTGTGCCAAACCAAACAGTTATAGAGGTACAAATGACAGACTCAATAATTCCTTTGCAGAACTGTATCAGCAGGTTCTTGGACAATCTGAGATTCCTGAGTTGATGCAGGAAGAACATTCTTTGTTGTGCCTTTTTAATGATGGTTCTAATGTTAGGTGTCCCTTTCAAGTCCTGAGAGATTATAGAAACATGAAGATCTCTACTGTTAGTAACAAAATTGTTAAGTGATTGTGGCTTTCCCATTGACTCTGCTTGTCAAAAGGTATCCTCAGGGCATTGCAACTGTTATAAACACATGCCAGTTGCAGGGAATTTGGAATTTTGATCACGACCAGGGGGATGCTGCAGCAGTTGTGTGAAAAACAGAAGTAAGTCACTTATTTTCAAGGCTGTTGTAACTTCCAACAGTCAATAAACAAATGGCTGTAAGTGGAGGGCTAATTTGTATAAAATATTTTTGCCAACTAAACTTAAAGAGCCAGCTCTGAGATATTTATGAATCAGATTTTCCCCTCTAAAACACAGATTTTTTTTTCCCTTCCCTTCCCTTCCCATAAAAAGGAAGGCCAGGTCACAGAAATGCAAAATATACTTAATGGCCTCTCAGATTAAAATCCAGAGCACTCCATTATGAGGCTTCAGAAAATAGAAAATAAAAAATAAAAAGCCTTCCCCCCCCCCTCGGAATTTAGGGATACTTTCCAGAATCCAATAAGAACATTTCACTTTATTCTCCATTCCTGATTTTTTTATCTGATCAGTTCTACCATGAGAAGAACACCACAGTGGCCAAACACATATCTAATTTCTGGGCAATACTTTCAGAATATCTATCAGCAGAAAACGAATAACAGATCCAAGCACAGACACCGAGAGAGATGCCTTCCCTCTGAATGGCTGTGTTAAAACATTATTTAACCGATAACTTTACTCTTGATTTAAAGGCAACGGGTTCAGCCCAGTAAGATCATCATAAAGCCTCACCCACTGCTAGTTACTGCTCCAACCGCCCTGCCAGGTCCTCGTTTCTCACGGGGAAACATCGGCAAAGTACTTCGAGCAAGCTCAACACCTGACTAGGTGGCTCAGTGGCTAAAACACCGAGCTTGTCGATCAGAAAGTTCGGCGGTTCGAATCCCTAGTACAGGTCTCCTGCGGGAGCAGGGGGTTGGACTAGATGACCTCCAAGGTCCCTTCCAACTCTGTTACTGTTACCATTGTAGGGCCAGGGCCGAACAACAATCGCCGCCGCCCTCGCCCTCAAGGCCCGGCTTCTGCCAAAAACCCCACCCCCCCACCCCGCCAATCAGTTTCCAAAGTCATCGCTTAATATCCTGCGGAACCGACCGCCTCGAGAAACGAGGAGGCAGAAAAGTAGACGCGATACGCCGTCGTGCCTCTTGCTCAAAATGAAAACGCCCACCTACTTTTCACCCCGCGGAGAAGAAGCCCCTTAGAGCCCGGCTACCTTACACGCTCCGCTTAGTCACCCCTCAACTTTTTGCCTGCTTACCTGCCCGGCACCCGAGACGCGTTCCGCTTCCAAAACTGCTTCTTCCCCGCGTCGCTCGCCATCTTCCCGTCACCTCATAGCCCTTCTTCTGAGCGGCGAAAGGGCAATAGGATCCGATGCCGGACCTCGACCGGCGGGTCCCGATCTCTTCTCCAACCAAGGCCGAAAGGTTCGGGGCTCACTCCATCCCAGCCCCTTTCCCTTTCCTCGGAAACCTGCGCGCTGCCATCTTGAAACCCCAGAGCAATCCCTTTCCCTATTGGCTCCGAGCATCAGCTGTCCCTTTCGTCCTATCACAAGTGAACATACTTCCGCGTGTGTTCCAGGCAGCACAATGAACATCAGCGGATCCTATTGGAGGAGAGTTGGGATTTCAATCATCCCTGGGAGGCTTCGGGCAGATTGGCTGTTTTAGCATTCTTTTCCCGCCCCCATGTAGGGCGCTTGTGACAAGTGCTGGCTTTGCAGAAGAAGAAGCGCAACAACAACAATAAGAAGAAATATCATCGCCGCCCGGTAATTAGTGGCATCGTAAATTAGCCTGACGTCAAAACATTAAACACAGAAGGCTGTATTTAAATAGGGTTGATCGCGCATCGCCTTGATTCATGAAATTTCTGAGTCTGGGCTGCATAAAAATCTTTATTTTGGGCATATCAATAAAAAGTAACAGCAATTTATTTATTTTATTTTTATTTTATTTTTCATATTTGTATACCGCCCTACTCCCGAAGGACTCAGGGCGGTGAACAGTCATAAATAAAATACAAAGATATACAAAAGTTAAAAACTATTAAAAAAAAACAGATTAAATAATTTAGGCTCAAAGATTAAAACATCCAAATTTATCTAAAAGAGATTTAAAAGCCAATTTAAAAGCCAATTTAAAAGGGAGAGTTAGGCCGGACCAGCCTGTTGGAATAAAAACGTTTTTAGGGCGCGGCGGAAGATGCGTAAGTCTTGGATCCTCCGTATCTCCAGGGGGAGCTCGTTCCAGATGGCAGGTGCCCCCACAGAGAAGATTTAAGAGCTACAATCATTTCAATCCTGACAATAAAACCTACGAGGTAGTAAAAGAATCCCTAAAGGCTAGCATTGATAAGATGATGCAATAATATTAAAACACATGCTTTTTTTTTTAAATTTATTGATTTGTCAAGCATATATGAGTTAACAGGTGTAGGAAGAAATATCCTTCTGAGTTCAGCTCCAGGTGGGGAAAAAGACACTGGAAACATGGAGACTGCTTGGAAAGATGGTTTAATGGTGGACAGGATCACATGGTTTGAGTTCCTGAACAGAAAAAGGTGAGACGCAGGGAGTCCACGGGTTTTATGCCCTCTCTGGTTTGAACTTCCTGGGGCCCAGAAAGAGTATCCTGATTGGTTGTCAAAGTCCCAGGTGGTCTAGGGGTCTTAACTAACTTTGTAGGTTGTCTCTCAAGCTTGCTTGAGTCTTGTCATGTGGTGAGTTTCTGTTGCTAGATGGGTCCTATTGTGTTGCAGATGATGGCCCATTGACAAAGATTGAGTTTCTGCCTCTGGCCCATTAACAAAAGGGTGGGGGCAAGAAGGTGGGAGCTGCTTTGTCTTTAAAACATGCTTCTCCATTTCTCATACAGGGAAATATTCTGCCTTTTTAATATTTCCCAAAATTTTCATTCCTGTAGGAAAGGGGTGGGTGCTAACTTCCTACACAGGTAAAAGTATAAACATAATTTGAATACATCAAAAGAGTAAGAGTAAAAAAGAAATATTAGGACAGGGACGGTAGGCACACTGGTGCACTTATGCACGCCCCTTACAAACCTCTTAGGAATGGAGTGAGGTCAACAGTAGACAATTTAAGGTTAAAGTTATGGGGGGTTGAGGATGTAACAACAGAGTCAGGTAGTGCATTCCAGGCATTGACCACTCTTAACAGAAGTCATATTTTCTGCAATTGAGTTTGGAGTGGTTTACCTTGAGTTTATATCTATTATTTGCTCGTGTATTGTTGTGGTTGAAGCTGAAGTAGTCATTGACAGGTAGGACATTGTGGCAGATGATTTTATGTACTACACTTAGGTCAGACCGAAGTCGGCGTAGTTCTAAGTTGTCTAAGCCCAAAATTTGAAATCTGGTGGCATAAGGTATTTTATTGCAGGTAGAGAAATGGAGGACTCTTCTCGTAAAATATCTCTGGACTCTCTCAATTGTATTTATGTCCAATATGCTATGCGGGTTCCAGACAGATGAGCTGTATTCGAGAATTGGTCTAGCAAATGTTTTGTATGCTGTAGTTAGCAGTACAATATTACCAGAGAAGACGCTACACAACATTAGGTTAACAACTGTTAATCAGGGCCGGATTTAGATGAAAAGCGGCCCTAGGCTATTCCACTTATGAGGCCCTTTCACCTATAGTGAAAGTGTAATTTTAATTTTGCTTACAATTTGAATGTAGGCCCCTCTTGATCTTGAGGCCCTAGGCTGAAGCCTAGTTAGGCTATAGGAAAATCCGGCCCTGCTGTTAATACCTTTTTGGCAATGTTGTTACAGTGGGCTTTGGCACTTAGATCTTTAGAAATGAGTACTCCAACGTCTTTGACAGAGCGAGGGTCATAATATTAAAATGAGACTGTTAACCAACAGGTGAAAATAGAGTAGAAAATGCAAGAGTGTAGTATTTCTTAAAGTGTGGTCCTAGGCACCCTGAGAGCCCCCCCCCCCCCCCCCCCGCACAATATCTTATTTGGATCCTCCAAACAAAGGCAGCCTGTGTAGAAGAAGAATACAGTATTAAAATTCCATAGAGCCATCATGAGAAACGGTAGCTGAACAGGTAGTCCTTAACTTATAACCATTCTTTTAGCAACCGTTTGAAATTACAGTAGCACTGAAAAAAGTGACAACAGCCCTAGCACTTAAGACCATCATGGCATCCCTATCATCATGTGATCAATTTGCAGGTGCTTGGTAACTGACATATACAATATTTAGCACAGTTATAGTCCCAGGGTCATGCAATTGCCATTTACAACTGTAGAAAGTTAGCACCCACCCCTCTCCTAGAAGAATGAAATATTCTAGGAAATATTAAAAAGGCAGACTATTTCCCCTAAAAAAGAAGTAGAAATCTTAAGGGACACAGAAACTCAGCCCCAGCAGATACTTTGGTGCCAACTTATCTACAAAACAAAAGACCTTCAGCTCCAGGGTGATAGGATTAGCCCTCACTCAAGATCCAAACCAGGACAAAGCCATTAAGCCATAATAGGAATTGCCCAAAGCCCCTTCATTATATCACCCAGCAAGATTCAACCAAGTCTGGATTCAAGATAACCTACAAAATTACCCCTGCATGGCCCCATGGGAGTCTGACAACCAATCAGAATACATTTCTTTCACAGGAACAGGAAACAAGTTCAAAGCCCAAGGAAGGGTATAAATCTCTCTCTCTCACCCATGTGCTCGATTGCCCAGGACCTCGAACTATGTGGTCCTGTCCACCATTAAACCATCTTTCCAAACAGCTTCCATGTTTCCAGTGTCTTTCTCCCCACTTGGAACTGAACCCAGATGGACATTTCTTCCAACACAACTTTCTCAGTTGGCTTCTGACAAGCAAAATCAGTGGAGGAAGGCAAATTTGCTTGAAGACCACGTATTCACTTAAGAACTGCAGTGATTACTTAACATCTCTGATAAAGTAATACATTTGGGCGTGACTCACTTAGCAATGGAAATTCTGGTCCCAATTGTAGACAAGAGCTACAGTACTTGTAGAACACACATCAAATTTAATTTTCAATATAAATTGTTTATAAATATAACCCAACAAAAGTGCCTTTGGAATCAACCATATTTTTAAAAGTAGGAAGGGCTGAGAGAAAAAGTTTAAGAAACACTGGAATAGTATAATGCAGTCTTATTAAGATTTCACTCCAATTTAAAACAAGGATGTAAAAATACAGGGAAAGTTCTTTTTTTTTTTAATCTATTGGGTTATGATTAGAGATAAGATACAATTAAATAAGACACCATAAAATGTAAAATGTACAATTAACATTCTTGGTTCATTTGGGCAGTGGTGAAATGTAAAATTTGTTACTATCAGTTCTGTGGGCGTGGCTTGGGGGGGTAATATGACAGTGGGCGAGGCCAACTTTTTTTTTTTTACTTTTAAAACCATTTTTTCTACAACCTCTTCGGCCAAAGAGGTTGTAAAAAAATGCTTTTAAAAGCCTCTGATGATCCCAGCTGACTTGCCTGATCGGCAGAGGCTTTTCTTTTTTTTTAAAGCCTCTGACGATTCCAGCTGACTTGCCTGATCAGCTGAGGCTTTTCTTTTTACTTTTAAAAGCATTTTTTCAGCCGAAGAGGTTGTAGAAAAAATGCTTTTAAAAATAAAATAAAAAGCCTCTGATGATTGCGCGGCTCAGCTGGGCATGGGGGTGGGGAGGGATTTTTGCTACCGGTTCTCCGAATCACCCACCGCCATCGCTACCTGATCAGGCAATCCAGTCCAAACCGGGAGCATTTCACCCCTGCAATTTGGTAAACTCTTAGTGGGATCCCAAAATAGCTGCACAAAACTTTGTAACTGCTTCAGAAGCATGCTGGTTTGTACTGTAGTCAATCATTCATAGATGTCCTGACACTGGATCAAGGTGTGTGTAGCAGAGTGACACTGTATCAATAGACAGATAATTTTTTACAGTCAGTGACTAGTCCATAAAGCACACTTCATGAACTAATATTAATAGATTGATTAAGTAGGTATATCAGTCAAACGGCTACACATCTTGGATATAATTCGACAAAGTTTGGCCACACTTAAAACAGAATCCATTTGTGTCTGAAAATAAAACTGATTAAAATGATTAGGGAATTTGATTAGATTCAGAGTTAGTAGCTCACAGCAGGTATCAGCATAAAATGCATCATTAGAATAAAGTATCAGATTATTTCAATTACTCCCTCTCTGCGTGGACATAGTCCAGAGTCAAAATTCTCTCAACTCAAATGTATTGGTTTGTATCAGAAAGGATAGGTTCAGCATGCAGTTCATCAAATCTCCCTGGATAAATCTTTTTTATTGCTGTAACATCCTCCTGAACACATTGATATACAGAGCACAATTGTTCAGTTTTCATGGCAACATTCTAGAAACTTTGCTGCGGCCTTCTTCCAGGATGTTTTGTTTTTACTTCTCGCTTTTCAGCTCGCTGATTACCTGATGGTCTCCCATCCAAGTACAAACCAGACCTGATCCAGCTTAGCTTTCTGAACATTGACAAGGTC